GTAGAAAAATGTCCACATTTACTTTCCTATTTAATCTTAATATTCTATGAGAAACGGGGGGGCAGTGTTTATTAATATCCTTTTTCACAGGTAAAAAAAATAAGGTTCAGAAAAGTTGTGAAGAAGTGCTTTTTCTACTGTTCAATGTTGTTGTCAATGCCCTAGAAATAGAACTTTCTGAAAACATATATACATAAATCCTTCATCATTTTATTTGCTTATATCACTAATTTTACTAAAAAAACAAACACACAAAAACTCCAGTGAAAAATGACTTTCACTGATAAAAGTAAGCCTCTAATAGGATACACTTAATCTCAATTCTATTACATATATTCAAAGTCATTAAAGATTTTCTCTCACCTTATTTCTGAACTATGTCATAAACTCAGAAAGCTAAACTTATTTAAACTTATACTGCAACAGAAATGTAGTGATGCTTCTGACACTTAAAGTCTATTTTTTCTGAAATTAATATAGGCACCTATGCTCTCTTGTTTACTATTTGCATGGAATAATGTTTTTCCATTCCTTCATTTTTAGTCTATGTGTGTTCTTACATATAAAGTGAGTTTCCTGTAGACAGCATATAGTTGGATCTTGTTTTATTATTCATTCAGCTACTCTATGTCTTTTGACTGGAGAGTTTAATTAATTTATGTTTAAGGTAATCATTGATAGGAAAGGACTTACTTTTGCCATTTTGTTGTTTTCTGTTTTATATTTACTTTGTTCCTCTATTCCTCTCTTGCTGTCTTCCTTTGTGCTTTGTTGATTTTTTTACAGTGACATTCTTTGATTCCTTTCTTTTTTTATTTTGTGTATCTTCTTTATGTTTTTGGTTTTTTTTTTTTGTGGTTACCATGTGGCTTGTTAAAATGTCCACTACCCAAAGTGATATACAGATTCATTGTTATGCCCATCAAAATCCAATGACATTTTTTATAGAAATAGAAAAAACAATCATAAAATCATATAGAACCACAAAAGACTCAGAATAACCAAAGTGATCTTAAGAAAGAACAAAAAAGCTGGAGGCATCACAGTCCTGATTTCAAACTAAATTACAAACCCATAGTAATTAAAACAGTATGGTACTGGCATAAAGACAGACAAATAGCAATGGAACAGAACAGAGAGCCCAGAAATAAAGTAAAACATACAGTCAACTGATCTTTGACAAGGGTGCCAAGAACATACAATGGGGAAAAATTGTCTCTTCAACAAGTGGTGTTTGGAAAATTGTAGTATCAACATGCAAAAAAGAGATAAAAAAAGAAATTGGACCCTTACCTTATACCATATATAAAAATCAAGTCAACGTGGATTAAAGATTTAAACATAAGACCTGAAACTGTAAAACTCCTACAGAAAATATAGGGGTACATCTTCTTGACATTGGTCTTGGCAATGACTTCTTGGATATGACACTAAAAGCAAAGGTAACAAAAGCAAAAATAGACAAAGTGGAACTACATCAAATTAAAAAGGTTCTGCACAGCAAAGAAAACAATCAACAGAATGAAAAGACGACCAATGGAATAGGAGAAAATATTTGCAAACCTTATAGCATTTCTATCTATTATAGTACTTCTCTCACCGTTAATAAGTAAATGTCAGTCTCCTCCCACAAACTAGGGTCAGGAACTAGGTTTATGTTTATCTCTAGATGTCAGTCAGTGCCTTGCAGATTGCCTGAATCTGAGTAGACCTTCAATAATATTTGTTAAATGGGTGAATAGTCACAAGTTCTGGCTGTCTAAGGAATTTCATATAACTAAACTCAAAGTACATCATTCAGAGATAAATAATACTCTCGTAACTCAATAACAGAAAGTTTGCTTTTCCCTCTTACCTCTTCATTTTGTACATAAATTTCTAGCTAGTTAGATAATCTGGGATTGGGAGGAGAATATCTTTCTTAATTTCTAAAAGGGGGCCCTCAAACTAACTCACTACCACAATGGCCTCAGTAATAAGTAAAAAGTACAATTACTTGGGTTCCACTACTCTCAGGGCACCTATTATGGTCACATACAAATTAGGACATGAACAACATAGAGCTTTTGTTTATTTTGATCTGAATTCATTATTTTGATCTGACTTCAAAAATCCATTTTGTATTCTTGAGTTCTCCCAAGTTCTAGATCTTTAACTGATTACTGGACATTTTCCTCAATCCCACCTCCACCCTCATAAAAGCTGATCAATATTGAGTTTATTCCATCTTGGTTTCCTATACACAAAAGTCCTTCCCATCTTTCAATGTCCAGCTCAAAAGTTACCACATCTAATGCTGCTCCAGGCCTGTTGTTCACTTTGCGGTCCTCTTAACTGTCCCACCAAAGCGTTTGCAACCTTGCACATAATCTCCAGCTAAAGCACTTGGAGCTTCCTGAACAATCATGCTCTCTCCCATTTTCCCACTTTTGCAGGTTCTGTTGCATCAAGCTACCATGCCCTATCCTCATTCCTGCATTCTTGTATCATAGAAGTTACCAAACCACTGTAAATGTTGAAATACACTGTTATTTGTCTCTCTCAATAGAATCTGCATGCTTGTGGAAAGATACATTAAAAAATTTTATACTCTATATCTAACACAGTGCTCAATAAATATGTGATAAATGGGTGAATGAGTGCTTGAATGTGTAACTAGCCTAAGTTCCTAAGGTAAGATAAAAATAAACATAATAATTGTAAAATGGTTGAGTCACTTTGGAAAACAGTTTGGCAGTTCTTCAAAATGTTAAACATAGAGTTTCCATATGATCCAACAATTCCACTCCTAAGTGTATACTCAAGAGAAATAAAAAGATATGTCTTCACAAAGTTCACAAATGTTAATAGTACCAGCATTTTTCATAATATCCCCAAAGTGGGAACAATGAAATGCCCACCTGAATGGATTAATAAAATGTGATATATCCATACAATGGATTATTTTTTAGTAATAAAAAGAAATGAAGTACTGATACATGTTACAACAGGGATGAGTTCCGAAAACCTTATACTACGTGAAAGAAGCCAGACACAAAAGTCACATATTATATAATCCCACTTATATGAAATGTCCAGAATAAGCATAGAAACAGAAAGTAGATTAGTGGTTGCCAGGAGCTGAGGGGAGAAGGGAATGAGGAGTGATTGCTAATGGGTACAGGATTTCCTTCTGGAGTGATGAAATATTTTATACATAGCTAGTGGTTACAGTTGCACAACTCTGTGAATATACTAAAAACCACTCAACTGTATACTTTTAAAGGGTGAATTCTGTAGTATATTAACTATCTCAAAAAACTTATTATTAGAAAATGAACACAATAATGAGAATTCTCCATTTGGTCCAGATTTTTAATCAAGGGCTTTATCTTTGAAATCACAACACAACTCTGCTGCCTAGAACTTCCTAATCTTCTATATTGATCAATTATAGAACTAGAAAAATGTTGGAACATTAAAAGGTCATTCTAAATTAACCCCTTCCTCACCTTACAGGTAAGAAAACTGAGCTCCAAGAAGGATAAATGATTTAAACAAAGTTATACAACTAGTAGTGAAACCAGGGAGAACTCAGTCTCAGTCCAATGATTCATCTTTTTTCTTAGTTGAATTAACATTTTCCTTCCTAAAGTTCCCAGGTTCTTTTTTTTTTTTAACTTAAAGGAAAAGTTACATTAAAAAGAAAAGGACAGACCTATTTATCTTTCATATTAAGCCTAGTAACTATTACTAGATTTTAGGCGATATTAAAAAAAGATTAAGAGAAAAAACTACTGCATCTTTCTGATTCTTTCAATGAGAAAAGGCAACTATTAGTACTTAAAGGTTTTACTCTTAAAAGATAATACAACATAAGAATTCACAGTAATAGTTAAGGATAGCAACAAAAACCACTCTTTCCCCTAGGGAATGGAAATAGACACTTAGCAAAGATGCTACATATGTGGAAATTTACATCCGATCCTTCACAGAGATGTCAAATTTAATCCATAGGAAAATGTCTTTCAAATTAACACTTTCTAAAGTTCCCCTTTGAGACCCATTTTTTTGGTGGCCTTTGTATGACAATGGCAAATATAGGTACAATAAGTAATTTTTGTGATACTTATTCACTCAGGAGATTTTCTATGAGAGCAAATATTTTCTTTAAAGTTCATATTTGTTCTTTTCACCAGAAGCAACTTTTAAAGGGAGGAATTTTTCATTTGTTTCTACCAAAGGGGAAAAAATACTAAGTTTCGTTGAACATATGATTTTTTTAAAAAACCATCATTCAATGTTGACCTTCAAAAGCTTATACAAAACATCAACATACAACTTATAGCCAGAGGGTAGCTCAGTGATTGTGTAGTCCAGTATTTCCCTGACTGTGCCCACATGTACCTGCAGATGGCATTTCAGAGGAAGTATGGGGAGTTGGGGGAGCAGAATGGGAGGGGAAAGATAACCATAACAACAAATATTGTTACACACTCAATTTAGTTTAGGAAATTCTGGGTTAATTCAATAAATATTTAATGAGCACCAACTATGTGTCAGACTTTCTTCTAGACGCTAGAGCAAAACATATTTATGCCAGGATTTCTTAGAGCCTGTAACATGCTACTGTTTACTATGACTAAGATGACCACATGTAGTTTGCCCGGACAGCTCCAGTTTACCACTGTTTTCTCAGCATCAGTAGACCCCCTTTCACTCCTGTTATCATACGCACGACTCTCTAAGTTTGAGGGGTGTGAATATAGTGCATAGATTTTTCCTAAACTTACATGACCAATGAAATACTTATATTTCCTATAGCCATCTCCTAGAACAGTGGTCTACAGAAAATGGTTCAGGAAATGCTGACCTACTCCATTCTCTCCATTTGATAACTGAGGAAACTAAGGACCAGAGATCTAAAGCCTAGGACACCTGGCTCCTATCTCTGATGTGCTTGCCAATACCTTGCAGATTGCCACAGATAAAACACTCAAACACAAAGTAAAAAAGTCTTATTACTGGATAACAAGTATTATGTATTTTCTCCTATTACAAAAATAAATCACCCAATTTTACATGCTGATTCCAATTTAAATAGAGTTTAACTTTAACTCAAGTTTTTTCTTTTAAGATCATAACTATAAAATTAACCAAAGATGGAGTCAATGAGAAAACATTACCTTGTAGTCAACTCTTTAAGTTTATAAGCCAAGTTTACCATGTCCTATTCTCTGCTTTTCTTCCACTCACTCTGGTGAATACAAGGTAACTGATTTCTTCATATCTTCAAAGCCTCACTGGCCTCACAGGTGTGTTTGGGGCGTGGGGGAGAAGCTAATTTTCTCAACTAACAACTTTCTGGTACAAAGAGTTACGCTCTAATATTTTCCTCCACTTTATGGTTCCAAGTGTCCTTTAAAGTAAGGATGCTACTTTCTTGGGCTATTTGATACCTATGAAAACTCTAAAGAGATGGAATTACAATATAAGTCCCTTATTCTTTCTGAGTCTCTACAGGCTTATTAACAAAGGCTATTTTCTGATTCCGGATGCACCAAAGATATGGCTCTAGAAGAAAATCATGCAAAAAATTCTCTTTAAAAATCAGTTATGCACATTGTGGATCACCCATGGCCATTCCTATTTCTACTAACTGTTAAGCATTTTAAGTAACTTAGTAGTTCTTTTAGAGAAGAGGGAGTGAATGATTATAGAAACTTTAAAAAGAAAGCTGTATCTTAGGAGCTAAGACATATCAATAGCCTTTTCTGAGGGAGCAAATGGTAGAAAATACTAGTTAAAACAGGGTTTAAACTCCTGGGAAATTCATCTTCGTACAGTATATCTTTTTGCTCATGACCAAGAAAAGGGAGTTAATAATAATAATTAAATCTTAGACAAGATAACCAGTCAAGTAGGTGAAAAGAAAATTACAAGGTGATTAAGGCAGAAGAACATTTCTAGAGAGAATCTGTTTTTGGATTTGTAGCTGGTGATATGAGAGAGATGTGACAGAACAGCCTTCTCAGAATCAGAATGGAGGTTGTAATTGTGTTGCAGAGCTTTGACTTTTAGAATGTAGCATTCTTTACTGTGATTGGAAAAAGAAGGTTTGCCCATGATAATTTATCATTTGAAGTAATAAACTTATTCAAGTCTAACTAGTGTACTCAATTAGAACCACCTGTTTAAAAGAAAAGGAATACAGATACTGATCACATCAAACGTTTTCATTGAGAAGTTGACAAGGACACTCATACAGTTTATCACCACTGGTCTCAGCAGCCTTCCTGTGTATGAGAAACAGAACTACAGGCCTTTTTGTATAAGCTCCTGTACATCTTGTCCATGCTGTTCTCAAAGATGGGTCGGTAGGATTTTCCTTTATAAGAGGCTGCCCTGTTGGACCAGTATTCGCCATCATCCAAATGGAGAGTGCCACGTGGCTGCTGAAATGAACTATACAAAAGGACATAAAAGATTAAAACAATGAGGCAACAAAATGAGAGGTAGTACTGTATAAATCAAATATTTACTAAGTACTTTATAGGTGTGTGGTACTCTGTTTGGGCTTTGAGATATAAAATGTGACAAGGCTTATGCCTTCAAAGAGCGACACTATTTGCATGCAACAATTACAAAACAATAAAATGAAAATGATATGTGAGAGTTAAAAAGAAATTCTGAGAAGAGAGGGAGGTGCGGCAAGGTAAAAGCAGGGCACAGATGGTATGGCATGGCCAGGTGTGAGAGTGCTTGGCCTCTGAAGTCAGGCAGACCTGGAACTGAATTCCAGCTCCGTCTTTGTAAGCTGTGGGAACCTGGGCGATTTATTCAATTGTCCAGGGTCTCAGCTTCCTTTACTGTATTTTTGCAGTGTTGTTGTAAAAATCAAAGAGAATATATGTAAAGTGCATAGTACAGTGCTTACCTGGCACACAAAAGTTATTAAATATAAGGCATTGAACTACTAGGTACTTTATATATATTTATACATATTTATAAAAAATCTTACAACCCTCTGAAGTCGGTAACTGTGGAAACTGAGACTCAGTGAAGTCAAGTGACTTGCCTAAGCCTCTTTAGGTAGTAAGGGGCAGAATGGAAAAGGATACCATTTCTGTGGCTCTAATGTCCTTTCCACTGTGGCATGCTATTGTCCTCAAGGAGGAGTAGAAAATTCGACTGAATATGAATCACTTTTAGAAAATGGAAAACAAGGTGGAAGAGTCTGTATTTGAAGTGATAGAGAAATACTGTTATTCTGAGGGTGTTGAAGAAAAAAGAGAGAGAACAGATGGAAGCTATAAAATAGACCAGGACTAGGCTCATTGTAATGGGAATAGAGAAGAAAAGGCAACTCTTTCTGAAGGCTTGATAGTGCTTTTCTTTAATTTGCTAGAAATAAAACATTGACTTTTTAAAAGACTGAGTTTATTTTATTTTTTAAACAAATAATGAACCCACTTTAATAAATTAAGTACTTGTTATAGATAAGACCTCTCAGGCATGTTAGAGATTATGCCATATAAAACTGTATGTCCTTGCTATTAAATGTTACAAATATTGACTTCATATATTTGGAATCTCACTCCACACAAAACAAACAATTTCCTCCCTGACTTATCAGTCCCATGATGTTACTTGTGAATTGTGAAATAGCAACTCTGGGAGCTGGATATCTGTAAAAAGAATTTGCTGTTTCACCTGAAGTCAATCTACCACCTGAACTCAGTAAAAGTGGTCACAAAAAAAGGCACAAAGTGGCTGTGTTATTCTTAGAGCTTGCCATAGTTTCCACCTTTCTTTCATTAGCTTTGCTTAAGAAATAGTCTAACCAACTGAATACAATGTCTTTCATACAATTTCTCACCAAGCCTAACTCCTGCTGAAACAGTCACTCAAAACAGTTTTTTGGACAATTTGAGTCAAGTGATAGAGAAATCACACACACAAATACATTAATAGAACTTCTTCTGCATGTACTTTGTACCTCTGCAAGTATATCTACTAGCCTAAGTCCCCACATTTGCCTCTGTTCCCTCAAACTACTTCAGGAGTGCCACATGTTGTGTTTTGTTTGTTTAGCTGTATTTGGTTTATTTGTTGCTTTTTTTGTTTTATGTCAAGTCATGCACTAATTAATATTTCACAAAACACAGATCTGTCCTTAATCTCCCTGTTGTCCACAGTCATCAACTTTACTGCATACTGATGGTCAGATGATAATGTTCTTTTCTGAACTCTATATTTTGCCGGGCTAGTTCTACCACAATAAACCTAGTCAACAGAAATTTGAATTTTTATTAAGCTACTACCCAAATCTCAGAAAGGTAAGTAATAGTAGGGCTGCTAACTTTAAAAATCATTGTGTAGGTTTTTCTGGGATTGTAAATCAAATTCCTAATCGCTATCATAAATTATCATATGAATGAATAAGTGAATAAATAAAATTCAGAAATAATTTTAGGAGCAACTGTGAACCTGATAAGGGTCTGTAAAAAGAGCGAAAGTGGCCAAAACAGACATCCTGATGCTTTTAAAATCTTGCAGATTTTGACAGGAAGTTTATTTCTATTTAAAATTGCAAAATTTTCAATTTAGTAAACAGTACTGTAGTTCTCCGGAGAGAATTTGGGAATTGGCTCATCCTAGAAGTCTGAACTGTGAAACAGAGGTGTTTGCAAAACAGAGGTGTTTGCAGAACAGGTTCTAATACGCATGGACAGGTGCAAACAAAGAGTAGCAGAATCTTAAAAGCAACATTTACTTCTAGACATGGAAGTATTTGGCTATCTAACTAATAAACTGTGAACATATTGAGTCAGTTCTGATTTTCCATTATTGGGAATATTAATAAGTTTACAATGTGTAAGTGACACTTAAAAAGTCTTATTATAGTAATAGGCTTTTAAAGACTACACTTCTGTATTTTACCATGAGTATCTCCAGCATTCATTCATTCAAAGCATTCAAAGTTCCTCCTCTACAAAACACTGAATTAGTGCTATATAACGTAAAATGGTTATCTTTAAAGCAGGGATAAAATTGCTATTTTATTAAATGCAGTACATTTTTTGGCAATTTACTCTTGCTACTTGAATAGGGGGCCCTCTATTTAATAATGACAAAACTATTAAGAAAAAAAAAGACAAAAAAAACCAGAGACCAGGATAATACCTGAGAACCGAGCACTTTCAAATCTTAAATGTTGCTAAGGTATAAATTATAAATTTATTTTTTAAGGCCTAGCATATATACAGAGAAGAGAAAGGTCTCAGGCAGCTTAACATGGACTAGGATAACTAATATTTTGCTTACAGAAGGTTAAACTCACTTGAAACCCTGACAGTGTTTTCTATATCAGTACGAAATGAAGACCAAGTACATACTACTTTACACATAGTTTTCAGATAAAATATCTATAAGGTTATATACATGAAAACGAAGGTCAGAGGGTAAGATGGATATGCCATGCAAATATTAATTCTAATAAATAACTGGAAGGTCATGAGAATAAAAAAATTGGCCATTTGCCATTTGTACTCATATAACCAGAGTTGAAAATGACATTAAAAGATGATGCAGGGAGGGAGACGCAAGAGGGAAGACATATGGGAACATATGTTTATGTATGACTGATTCACTTTGTTATAGAGCAGAAACTAACACAACATTGTAAAGCAATTATACCCCAATAAAGATGTTAAAAAAAAAAAAGATGATGCATATTCTATACTTTAAACTTGTGATCTAAGATTCAATATAAAGACATAATATAAGAGATGAATTTCTTCCCATAATACTCTATAAAGGTTCCTATCAAGCACAACTTTGACAAAACATGTGGAATAGTACTGAGGATGTGATGTATGCTCTATAGACATTGAATGGATGGATGATGGATAGACTGACGGATGGATGGATGGATGGAATGTAGGAAGGAAAATACTCAAAATCTTGGAGTTCAGAATAGATGATAGGGAGACTAAACTATGTCTAATAAAATCTGTAAAGCATTTTGTATCTTTAAATATACCACACAAAGATAAAATGTCATTAAAGACATCAAAATTTACTGATAAATTATAGCAGTAATTCTCAAACTTTAACACACATCAGAGTCATCTGGAGGGTTTATTACAACTCACATTACTGAGCCTCACCCCCAGAGTCACTAATTGAGGATGTCTGAGATGGGGTCCAAGAATTTGGATTTCTAACAAGTACCAGGGTCATGCTGATGCTGCTGGTCTAGGAACTACACTTTAGAAAGCACTAAATTAGTGGCTTTTCTATAAAATTTTAAAAGCTTCGGGAAAAAAATTGCATGTTGCCATTTATCTTCTTTTATTATTCACAGAAACTATACAGTAAACGTTAATAGAAGTCTATTCAAATGAACATACTGAAGACGGGTTACTTATACGTGATTTACTTCCCTTCTCTGAGTAAGGATGTGCAGAAATGAGCCACTGACAACAAATAAGTTCTAAGAGCTTTCATCATGATTAATTCCACTGTTGATTCCTTATCTAAAGATGTTACTAAATATCACAACCATAATGTGTGATATTTAATAATAAAGAGTTTCAGCAAATTCAACTGATCATTATTAATAAAAGACCCAATTTTAATATCTGAACTGTTTTTTTTTTTAAATTGAGCTCCTAGTACATGTCAGAGACCTTGATGGGCAGTCAAAAAACAAAGGTAAGCAAAACATCTGTGCCTCACACTTAACAGAAGGGGGCAAAACAGACATATAATGAAATGATCACTGTGAGATAAATATTGCTAATTGAAATTATATATGTGAGAGGAAGTGGCAGGATAAAGGAGAAAATGACTAACAGTTTGCTGAGGTCATAAAAGGTATCTCAGAAGAGGGAGTAACTTGAATTTAGTCCTGAAGAATGAGTAAGCATTCACTAGATAAACAAGAAGACATTGGTTATTCCAGACATCATACTGTAACAGAACCAAGGCACAAATTAGTCTGAAATATCAATAAAAATACCAGATAACACAAAATCCAAAGAATTCAAATTAGATTTGAGCAACATTTTCTCACTTAAAACTGAACGCTTATTCTTAGTTATTCAAGAGACTTTAAGTCTATATATTATTTAGACTTTTTTCCTTTCACTTATTAGTACTAAAGACATCTTGGTAAATTCACCAAGTTAATCAGATAGTGAGCAATGGGCAGGAAATGAAAACTATAGTCAAAGTTTAAATTACTCAGTTTGAGATTCTGTTATAAACAATTTCATAATTAAAGCATTTATATTGAGCATATTCTTACTGTTAATAACCTGAAAAACATGCACAATAGAAAACAGTTTATATCAATAGCTAGTTCCATAAAAGAACAACACGGCTAAAAATCTGGGGTAATAGTCATAAAAGGCCAAGTCATGTTCTAAACATGAAATTAAAATTATTTTTATCTTCCCCTCTCTTTTTGTGGCCAACTCCCATCTACAGGAAGCATCACCTCATGCCTGGTCTTTAGTTAGGACTAATGATCAAACTGAATAATGATGCCAGAAGTGTACTACAGTATAGAGAAATTTCAACATCCTGAAAACTGAAGAAATTTGAAAAATATATAGAAGGTACTAAAAGGAGAAAGAGCATCCCAGGGCCCTGGAAATTGGCAAGGCTACCATAGCAAATGCCTAAAATTTTCTGAAACATAGGCAATGTGAAAGTTGAAAAGGACGTCTTCATGGGTAGTAAATTATTTCCCCAATCCAGCTCTCAAATCTTAAATTATTGGACGTAAAAGGTCACTTAATAACTCCTTGATAAGAGATTTCTTTCAAGTGAATTTCATTCTCAAAGGTGATGGAAAACACAGGACAGCTTGAAAAACACAGGACAGCTAGCACGGATAGGCTGATGCCCGGAAGATGAAATAACAAGCACTCTAATTTGCCATTCTGCTCTTCCTGCAGAAAACATGGAACATCTGCTGTACTCCATGGCTGATAGCCACAATGTATATCTAGATCATAAGATAAAGGATTGAGTCCTGGGCATAGTTTTTCCCGGGAAAAATATGAAAGAAAATAATTTCTATCTCTTCATGAATATTCTCTATTTGACTGTCATTATACGTCTCTTTAGTTCTTCAAGCATAGCTGCTACATCCCCAGGGCTGCCTCAGGAGGTTTCTAGTAACTCATTTTTCATGTGTATGGATCACACTTTACTGTTTCTTTGCATGTCTCATAATTTTTTGTTGAATACAACAATTTAGATAAAAATTGTAGCAACTCTGGGTTCTCACTCATTACCAAGCTGTTTTGGATTCTTTGTTTAGTGACTTGCCTGGACCTATGCTGTAAAGTCTGTTTCCCTTGCACTGTGTAGCTGCTGGTGTCTCTTCATTTTTATTTTTTCAATTATTGTTTCTATTTTTAAGCCTGGCCTCCTAGGGGTTGCCCCTGCGTCAACATAGCTTGATGACCAACAAATGATTGGTCTGAGTCAATAATCCTATAACGTTTCCATCTTTTGCCAGTGGACCTATGTGTGGCTTAGGGAATACATTCAAAGTTTATCTGGTTGATAAATCTGCCCTGGAACTTGCTTTCTGCCTTCATAAGGCCTCACACTCAGCCATGGAGTAGTGGCTCCCTAACACGCTCTCTGGTCTCTCCTGAACATGTTTACAGCCTTATACATACACATAATGTTCTAGACTACCAGGGATACGTAGAACTTTATCAAGGACAACTGTGGCTATCTTGTCCTTGGATTTTTGTTGGCTGCCCCAGTAAGCAGTAAGACCTCAAGCCCTCCCTTATTGTTTGCCAGTGGGATCATTATTGTTTCCATTAATCCCCCCACACATGAAATTTCCTATGCTATGCGCCATATAAAGTCAGTCCCCTCTGGCAGCAGAGCTGCCTGTCTTTTGGCGTGACTGCCCCAGTAGAACTTTTGTGCTGAGGAGCTGGGGGGTGGGGGGTAGGGACTGGAGCTCCAGGCAAAATGCCACAGACTCCTACTGCTCTCATGGAGCTTCAGTAGATTTTCTTGATAAACGCTCCTCAATTTGTTATATTCCTTTGGTCAATTTCCAGAGTCCTTAAATTGTTGGTTTTGACAATTCAATTCAATTCAATTGAATTTTGACAGTTCAATTTTGTTGCTTTCGGAGAGGATTTGCTGAGCTCCTCACTCAGCCATTCCAGAGGTCCATGCAGACTTCCTCTTGACCCCTGTGTCAATGGATGTCTGCAGAGGGGTAATTTTTAGCCAAGATCTCAAGTTCCCTCTTGATTTCTGCTGATAGAAGCCTTAAGGCAAGCAAGTGGGTGACTACTGTGAGTGCGGGTTCTCTCATCTTTCAGATGGAAAGTAGAATGGGGTGACTTCTTGGCCTACTATATAATATGACTTGGGGATAAAACTAAAATAATACCCTGATCAGTTCTGTAGCTTCTGGAGCTAATATCAAAGATACTCTTATACAATGTCTTGAGGCACTGACCACTGTGTCCTATTGGTCCAAGTATATCCTACTGGTCCAAGAGAAGCAGCCAGGAATATAAAGTAATCTCAGAACTTCCTGATGCTCTGCTTGACTCTCTCACTTGAGAGGTACTGAAACAGTCTCAAGTGACCAAAGGCTTAGCCATTAACATTGCTTGGTAAACTGGAAAAAGAACCAATACTAAGGTTTATGGCAAACTTTAAATAGAAACCAATGTTTTTCAAAATATGGTCCTTATATTACCTTCACTAGAATCATTCATGATACTTTTTAAAATGCAGATTTCTAGGTCACACCTCTGTGTGTTAGGAACCAGAATCTATGGAGGTAGAAAGAAATCTATATTTTTAAGAAGCATATTATACATATAGGAGTTTGAAAATCAGACCCTTTGCTTTATCAACCCTACTCACTCCTTACCTCAATTAGAATTAATTACGTGGATACAGAACGCAAAATTGGGATGCTAATGCATATACCGGAAATCTAAGAATTAGAAGTTTAAGTAACAACAATAAACGGTACAAATTCTTCATCAAGGTATGCACTTTCTTGGCCCTTCCTTTTCCCATTTGGATTGCTTTTTCTTCAAACTCATTTAAAATACACTACTTTCCTTCATGAGAGACCTAGGTTTCCTCAAGGATGGGAAGCAGTAACTTTGGACAGGAGTTCAGACTTATACTCTGTGTAAGGGACAAAAGGAAAAGTCCTCACATGTTTATGGAATGCCTAGCCTAGCTTCCCAGGGCAAATATCAGAGATTTCAGTCCAAAACACCAGTTAGCAATAAAACATATTCCATTATCTGGAGCTTTTTTCTTACACTTGTTTTTCAGGAAACTCAGGAAGCCATATAGTAATCAGTGGCATAGCATCAAAGGCCTCAGAGAAACTTTAGTTAGATAAACTCACAATTTACATTCAGTTTTTAATACCACACTTCATGGCAATTAACATAAAGTTTTCAAAAGTCTTCATGAGATTTGCTAGCATAATTTTGCAAAAACTGTATTATTACTAACATTTCTGAAATTTTAGGCTAGAAGAACTGAATTTCTCTTATTAACATAAGAGAAAAATAAAAAAATAAAAAAGGCTTACTCATGATCTAATTTTTTTTTTTTTTTGCGGTACGCAGGCTTCTCACTGTTGTGGCCTCTCCCGTTGCGGAGCACAGGCTCCGGACGCGCAGGCTCGGCGGCCATGGCTCCCCGGCCCAGCCGCTCCGAGGCATGTGGGATCTTCCCGGACCGGGGCACGAACCCGTGTCCCCTGCATCGGCAGGCGGACTCTCAACCACTGCGCCATCAGTGAAGCCCTCATGATCTAAATTTTGAAACCTGTTGTTTCCTCATTTATTCAGGATGAGAATAAATACATCCTGAAGTAAGTCCTGAATATGTGGATTTGCAAGGCAGCCAAATACACTAGAAATCTTAAGTAGGATGAAAGGCACCACCATTAATCGACTATATTTGATTTCACTGAAAATTTTCAGTAAGGCAAACATTAAAATACTATAATAGGATTTTACATAGTTAAAATAAAATATAAATAAATAAATATTGAGGCTAAATTTGCCACAAATCCTGCAGATTAAAAACCAGGTTATTTTTATACTAACTATGAGAAGATCTCTATACACTGTATTAATCAAGCTCATACCTATACTCTGGGTCACTGTCATAGGCAGAGTCTCTATATAAAAGACCTCTTTTCAATTCCAGTTCATCTTCTTTCTCTGGGTCTCTCTCATCCTGAAAAATTTAAAGATTTCCATTAATTTATTTTATAATTAAAATGACACACATGTTTCTGTGGTAATTGTTCTCCCCCTCCCCCAGTGAAAGGAATTGAATTAAATGCTGGATTTCTTAGGAAAGGAACAAAAGGGTTAGTGAGAATTTACTATTCTGTTCAATGAAACTAATACAGTTTTATTATAGTATTACTAATACTGCTTATCAAAGACTAGAAACACAATAGATGTTTCTTGAATCAATGATTAAATAGAAATGGATACTGTGTCAAGATATGTAATAAGATGTGTAGTAGGTAATAGCCTACACACTGTTATGTGGACTCCTAAAAGATTATACCTGCACTCTGAAAAATAAGTATTTGGGAAAACTATGTAAATCTAAGCATTTTAACACATACCTATTACTTACGAAGGAAGTGATTTAGAATTATTACGTGTATACCAAATGCAGTAACAAGCCACAAGAAGTAAAAATGAAAGGCAGGGTAGTTGGAATCAAAACACATGGCTCCTCCTCCTTCTATGGGCAGGCTGTTCTTTACTTCTGAGAGATCAACTCAAGGGCATAAGAAATGGAATTCTAAAGAGATAGCTTTGTAAACTATGTCATTCACAGTAAGGATGTTCTTACATATGGTAATTTTATATAACTTAGTATCAAATATCTTTCTCAACTACTAGCTAACACCCTTGTTCTGTGGTCAAACAGGAACAGAAATAAAGAGAACTGATGGTAAAAGGAACCAGTAAGCACAGATTGCTGTAGGAATTAGTATTAATAAGGTGGTCATTCACTCTATGTAAGAAATCAGCTGAACAAAGATTATCAAAGATTAGATCACTCCCTAACACCATACACAAAAATAAGCTCAAAATGGATTAAAGACGTAAATGTAAGGCCAGACACTATCAAACTCTTAGAGGAAAACATAGGCAGAACACTCTATGACATAAATCACAGCAAGATCCTTTTTGACCCACCTCCTAGAGAAATGGAAATAAAAAAAAAAATAAACAAATGGGACCTAATGAAAACTTAAAAGCTTTTGCACAGCAAAGGAAACCATAAACAAGACCAAAAGACAACCCTCAGAATGGGAGAAAATATTTGCAAATGAAGCAACTGACAGAGGATTAATCTCCAAAAATTATAAGCAGCTCATGCAGCTCAATAACAAAAAAACAAACAACCCAATCCAAAAATGGGCAGAAGACCTAAATAGACATTTCTCCAAAGAAGATATACAGACTGCTAACAAACACATGAAAGAATGCTCAACATCATTAATCATTAGAGAAATGCAAATCAAAACTACAATGAGATATCATCTCACACCAGTCAGAATGGCCATCATCAAAACATCTACAAACAATAAATGCTGGAGAAGGTGTGGAGAAAAGGGAACACTCTAGCACTGCTGGTGGGAATGTGAATTGGTACAGCCACTATGGAGAACAGTATGGAGGTTCCTTAAAAAGCTACAAATAGAACTACCATATGACCCAGCAATCCCACTACTGGGCATATACCCTGAGAAAACCATAATTCAAAAAGAGTCATGTACCAAAATGTTCATTGCAGCTCTATTTACAATAGCCCGGAGATAGAAACAACCTAAGTGTCCATCATCGGATGAATGGATAAAGAAGATGTGGCACATATATACAATGAAATATTACTCAGCCATAAAAAGAAATGAAATTGAGCTATTTGTAATGAGGTGGATAGACCTAGAGTCTGTCATACAGAGTGAAGTCAGATAAAGAAAGACAAATACCGTATGCTAACACATATATATGGAATTTAAGAAAAAAAATGTCATGAAGAACCTAGGGGTAAGACAGGAATAAAGACACAGACCTACTACAGAATGGACTTGAGGATATGGGGAGGGGGAAGGGTAAGCTGTGACAAAGTTAGAGAGAGGCATGGACATATATACACTACCAAATGTAAGGTAGATAGCTAGTGGGAAGCAGCCGCATAGCAGAGGGAGATAAGCTCGGTGCTTTGTGACCGCCTGGAGGGGTGGGATAGGAAGGGTGGGAGGGAGGGAGACGCAAGAAGGAAGAGATATGGGAACATATGTATATGTATAACTGATTCACTTTGTTATAAAGTAGAAACTAATACACCATTGTAAAGCAATTATACTCTAATAAAGATGTAAAAAAAAACAAAAAAGATTATCAAGAAAAATGATTTTAAAAACTTGGTGATGGCATGAAATTAGGAAGAGAGCATTCAGTTAAAAAATGTAAGCAATACATAATAGAGCAAGTTTAAAAATCACAGAAAATGTGAATATATATTTAGAATTATTATAACTCCTAGGTGAATTGAGCCCTTTTACTGTTATGAAGTAACTCCATTTATTTCTATTAATGCTTTTTCCCTTAACATTTTTTTGGTTTACCATTGATATAGCTACAATAGCTTTCCTTTAGTCAGTGCTTGGATGATATATATTTGTACTTTTATTTTTAACTTTTCCTTATTATTATGTTTACATCTTTTTCTTAAATAGTATATAGATGGATGTTGCTTATTTTTGTCCAGTCTGATAAGCCAATGAAGTAGAGCATTTACTCTATTAATATCACAGAAAATGTAATCACCTGTAATGAGTACAAAAGACACTGCAAAGGAAAGTGTAAGAAATAAGACACTATGTTAATATGTTTTCAATCTTCAGAAATAGAGTATATTGCAAGAAAAACTGAATGAAAGAGATGTAAATGATGTTGAATTTTAAAATTCTATCCTTGGAAGAAATATTAATTTCTAGATTATATGATAAGTGATATCAGACATAAACATAAATCAATATTCCTGGTTTAATTTTGTCAATACAGTTGAAAAAAATAATTTTTGACCAGGAGTAATAAAAAATGTAGACTAAATTTTAAAAGTTTATATATGAAAAAAATACAAAAGGGCCTTAGAAATCTGAACCTCAATTATTCATTGAATAATACCCCTATTTTGAGCTGGGTACTTACTATCCTAGACTCTGTGAGGATAGAAAGATGACTAAGACATGATTCCTGCACACATGTGGAATAAAGTTTGTCTATTCTGTGAATCTCTATGAGTAGAATGGATCAACAGGTAGAATTATTATAGGATATAATAAAGGACAAAATGAGGAAGAACTGCCTAATTAATAGAGCATTCTAAAAACAGAATGACTGTCGTAAGAGGGAGTAAGGGCACAATCACTAAAGCTATTCACATAGAGCACTAATACCTATCTATAATCAAGGAGTTCAGGAAGGGGAATTCTGCCCCAAGAAACAAAAAGGACTATATGGCCTTCACGGTTATTCTCTTCAAATTTTAAGACCATTGTGTAACATTTATATATATTCAAACACATACATATCTCTTATAAGCATCCTTGTGTAAGCTTTTTTTTAAAAAGATCAAGTTATAAAAAAGCAGAGAGGCAACAAACATCATACCTGTCATAAGCCATTAACTATGACTAAAACAAGTATTAGAAGAGATATATCATTCCCATTAGTGCCAGAAAAATATATTTCCGGAGCATAGGGAAGTGATTCCCCTCTTATTTCTCACCGACATTCCCATTTGTCCACATGTAAACACAGGAAAAGATGGATGACACCAATATTTGTTCAGTTCCTTCAACGTATCTAGGACTGAGTTAGGTACTTCTTAAATGAATATCTTGTAAGCCTTCAATAACCTTATGAAAAAGGCACTGCAACTTGGAAAAATTAACAACATACCCAAAGATACAAGTTATTAAGTGGCAGAGCTGGAACTTAAACCCAGATCTAACTTTATTTACATTATACTCCCTCCTGAAATGCAAATAAGCTGGACTATAAAATAAAAATCTCCATTCCAAACCATTAGATTATTCTCCAGTATGAAAATTAAGCTCAAACTCTTTCAGCTAATATCTATTCAGTTAGTTTTTTATGAGGGTATTCTGAAATAATTTAGCCCAGAAGAATTTTTTTTAGGATTTCCATGAAGAAACAGTTTTCTTTCAGCAAAAGTCATTAATAAAATGACGTACTATTAAAAGAAGCTGTGGGCTCTCCTTCTCTGAAACTGGCAGTAAGTTAAATATTCTCTTAAGATTCCTGTCACCAATGATCACTATCTTATACATGTAACTGACATCATTCTTAGAACACCCCTGGAACAAAGAAATAAAAGATACCCATACATGCTTGCAAACTGAAAAATTTAGGACAACAGTGATTCAATAGTCTATGATAGGGCTTCCCTGGTGGAGCAGTGGTTAAGAATCTCCCTGCCAGTGCAGGGGACACAGGTTCGAGCCCTGGTCCGGGAGGATCCCACATGCCGCAGAGCAACTAAGCCCATGGGCCACAACGGCTGAGCCTGCGCACTAGAGCCTGCAAGCCACACCTACTGAGCCTGCGTGCTGCAACTGCTGAAGCCCGCGCGCCTAGAGCCCGTGCTCCGCAACAAGAGAGGCCACCGCAATGAGAAGCCCGCGCACCACAATGAAGAGTAGCCCCCGCTCGCTGCAACTAGAGAAAGCCTGCGCGCAGCAACGAAGACCCAATGCAGCCAAAAATAAATTTTAAAAAGAAAAGCAGCAGCCAACCCACAGCTGCAGCCAGTTAAAACAAAAAAGTCTATGATAAAGCAAGAACTAAAGGTAGTCATCTCACTAATTAAATAGTACTTAATAAAACATACCCCTGTCATTCTCAAATGAAATTCTCATATATAGTTTAAAAACCTATAAGATGTGTTTCATTGCTGTCAAATTCAAAACACTATTTATAATGAAGTGTGTACAAGAACAAGAATTCCAATAGAATTTAACCACTAGTTCTAATTTGCATTATCACCCTGGACAATTAATGCTTCAATTTCCTAAATCGTAATGTAGAGAAAATTTAGAGTTGTTCAAAGTCACAAAGATAAGAAGTTGCAGAGCTGGCCTTGAACCAGGTTTTTCTAATTCTATAAACTGATTTATA